GGTGATCCCCTGGGGCAGGTTGCCCCGAGGAGCTGTGGCTGCCCCATCCCTGGAGGTGTTCAAGGCCAGGTTGGACGGGGCTTGGAGCAACCTGGGCTGGGGGGAGGTGTCCAGTTGGAAGTAGATGATTTTCAAGGTCCCTTTCAACCCAAACCATTCTATGATTCCAGTGAGAACATTGAGTACTGGTGTAGAAAAATAGCAACACGTTTGTAGTAAGTGTTCTGTGGTCATGTGCAAATTCTTTTCCTAGGCTAAGACTGTAGCATCTATGGTGGCACTGGTACGCTTGCAGGAAAAACAGTTGATCATTAAAGAGTTGCACTGTGGCAAGTTTACTTGGGTGTTCCAAATACTGGCAGCGTGACCTGGACAACTGTGCTTTACCTGTCTGTTTTAAGGACCCCAGTGCTTTGAAAGCTGCGTGTTATCTAGGATTTAGAAGATGAAGTGGTTCCTGTCCAGCTGGTAACTTGTTCTGTAATGCTAAGCACATTTTAATAAATTTAAATTGAAAGAGCTACTCCACTATCAGTGTCAGTTATTGCAGGACACCAGAAGGGTGAGAGGTTAATTGCAATATAATAAACCCAGAGAGCAAGTGGATGCTTGATTGGATATTTTTTGGATTTTAGCTGTTAGTACAGGTGAGGCTTTTTTTTCCCCTATGAGAACAATCGAGCATTGTAGCAGGTTGTTGAGGGGCATTATGCCGTCCCTGTCCTTGAGTTTTTCAAAACCTGACTGGATAAAGTCCTGAGCAAACTGGTGTGATTCTCTTAGCTGACTCTTCTTTGAGCAGGAGACTGGACCAGAGATCTCCTGAGGTTCCTGAATTGTTCTGTGATTCTATGAAAGCTATGGTTGTCAAGTGGCCCACGGCACGTTGTTTGTAGCTTATTGCGATGACCTCTATATCTGTCTGTAGCAATGGTAAATGTCACACTGACGTCCTTTTTTCCCCCCTTTGCTTTTTGTGTTTAGTTGCTGAGCGTCCTCAGCATATGTTGATGAGAGTGTCGGTGGGGATCCACAAACATGACATTGAAGCTGCAATTGAAACTTACAATCTTCTGTCTGAAAGGTGGTTTACCCATGCCTCCCCCACGTTATTCAACGCAGGCACCAACCGGCCTCAGCTTTCCAGGTACCTTTGGCTTTTGAGTTTGCTGAATGCATAACTGGACGAAGATACAATTTGGGAGATAGGATCTGATCAAATGAAATGATTTCAATGAAATGATTTCACAACTTCTAAAAATAGTAGCTGTGTTTCTGTGATTGTTTTATAAAGCTTTGAGAAGCTGCTGTCAAATTTAACTTCATCTCTAGTGTAGTCTTTGGGGGAAAAATACACAGGTTTCTGTAAGCTTCTAAAGCTAATGGAAATATTTACATGGCTATATGTTATTTAAAAGTTGCTTATATGCAGTCTTCTGTAGATTACAAGATGAATCCTAGTAATTGTTTTCTAAAATATGCTAAAAGTAGCAAGCATAATTGATACAATTTTAAAAAAATGTTTTGCTTTGCTATAACAGGTATCAATAATACAACTATTGCTTGTGATGTTTTCTAAAACTGTTCTTTATTCCACTTTGCAGCCTGTGGTTTTGCTTCATTTATTTGCTTTGCATAGCATGCTAAAAATTCAGCATTTACTGTTGTTTCTCTGCAGCCCTGGTGAAATACTTAGTTACTTTTTTTTGTTTTAATCTTTGTATGCTAAAGCTATTTGTTTTCATTAGTTGTTTCCTGCTGTGCATGAAGGATGACAGCATTGAGGGGATCTATGACACCCTCAAGCAGTGTGCACTGATCTCAAAGTCTGCTGGTGGGATTGGCGTTGCTGTGAGCTGTATCCGAGCCACAGGCAGCTATATCGCTGGGGTAAGCGTGCAGATGGTGTTCCCAGCAGAGGTTAACCTTCAGGAAATGTCTATATTTCAGTTGCCAAATCAATGCTGCTTCTACTGAGTCAGTTTAACACAGCAGTCCAACTCAGTAGTCCTTCCCTTTTCAGAATGCTCTAAGGCAAAAAGGCTGGTTTTCCCTGGTGTTTTGGCTTCCTAATGGAAGTCCTTCCAAAACGAGGATCTTATTCCACTGTTTGATCAGACAATTCCAAGTTATTTAGGTATTAGCAACCTAGGAATATGTTCAGAGACCTGTGCGTTAGCCCTTTTCCTTTTTGTATGTCTAACTCCTTAAGATCATCTGTGGATGTGTGTTTGATTTTTTGTCACAGTGTATGTAACTCTACAAGCCTTTACATAACATAGAGGAAAGAAGTTAGGAGTTACATTTTACTAATTCTGGGACCAGTAGCTGACACATTTTTGTCTATTTACAAAAAAGGTGGGGGAAGGGGCTGCCAAATAACTGATAGGGGTGGTCAGTTCCTAGCTTTCAGCATAAGAGTTTTGCAGACTGCTGAAAGGCATACAGAAAATGTAGGCACATCTCTTCAGGCAGTTGCTTTTTAGTATTGATGATTTTCCTGTGCCTCTGCAGACAAATGGAAATTCCAATGGGCTTGTTCCAATGCTGAGGGTCTACAACAACACTGCCCGCTATGTGGATCAAGGTGGAAACAAGGTACTGGCTTTCCATTAAACTAGGGTTGAGAAGGGAACCTCAGGTCAGAGGGAGAGGTTCCACGTCTGTGAAAGATTGCCTCAGTAACATCAGTGAGCTGATGAAGTGGTTGTAGGTGGCACATAATTAAAAGAGGGCATTTTCTCCCCTTCTTGTTGATATTCTGTTGTTCCCCTTTCACTATGCATTTTATCATGCAGGTATATCTTTTGGTATATGTCTGCTGCACGGAATGCACACGTTAGATCAGCCTCTTGCACTGGTTATCAGTCACTCCTTGAATGCCCTATAGTGAATTAAGGTATACGACTGCAGAAAGCTTCTTGATCTGTATCCTTTGTCTTAACATAGTCCAGAGGTCAATGGAGGCATGACCTTAGTAAGTAAATCTAAGATTTGTCAAGCTCATGTTTGCACAGAAGAAATACATTTTTGGTACTAAATAATTTTTATTGAGAATCTGGAACTAGTAACATGGCCAAGTTCCAGTAAGTGAGAGCAACAGTAATGCAAGAAAGCATATTGAAATCGCCGTAACGAGACTATAGAACTAAGCTCCAGTTAGCTTAGGGTATTGTGTGCACTTGGGAGCAGTGCAGGAGATTTAATTTTTAAGGGCTATTTGTTCTGATCTTGACTATATTTTATGTATCAGAGACCCGGGGCTTTTGCCATCTACCTGGAGCCGTGGCATTTGGACATCTTTGAGTTTCTTGACTTAAAGAAGAACACTGGGAAAGAAGAGCAGCGAGCCAGAGACCTTTTCTTTGCCCTCTGGATTCCTGATCTCTTCATGAAGCGAGTTGAAACCAACCAGGTAAGAAGCTCGATTGGTACAGAATAGGTCTGTTGATGGAGAAACAGGTGATGAGCCCTGGGATGGGGTTCATGAAGGGTTGCAGAGCTGTCTTCCCAGCGGCAAAGGAAGCAAACTTCCTGAAAGAACTTCTGCGCCTTGTTTGAGAACTAGGCTGTGCAGGTAGAGAGTGGAGTCGGAGAGCTCCAGTGAGATTTTGCTTCAGTGCTTTATCTTATAGCCCATGACTTATGTTTTGATAGTATTATGTTCAGTTTTCACTCTGGAGTTTCCTTAAAGCATCAAAAATCTCAGGAATTGATCTTCATGTGACTGCCTGTATTTGCTTTGAAATGGGCTATAGCTTGAGAACCAGTCATTTAAAGAGTAAAAATGCGATTTGGTCATAAACGTTTGTATAACTAATTTTTAAATAAATCTGACTAGTCTGATAAGCATCTTGCCCCTGTGTGCTGGCAGAGTTGGTTCCTAGTTTTTCAGGATGGGAGGTGTAGTTTGCACGTTCCTGTTTACAGCAGGATCTGCTGATGAAGTTGAATGCCTCTAATTAACAGGGTGCCTAAAAATATTCAAGAGAAAATCTTTTCCTTCTTTTACAGGACTGGTCCTTAATGTGTCCTAATGAGTGTCCTGGCCTAGATGAGGTTTGGGGAGAGGAATTTGAGAAACTATATGAAAGGTAAGAAAAGTGAATGGATTTTTAAGCAGTGATCATCCATTCACAGAACTGCCCTTGTTGTGTGGTATCTGGCAGCCAAAGCACAGGTTTGTGGTGTTGGCTCATGAGTGGTCAGTGAGTTCCATTATCAGATGGATAAAAAGGCAAAGATGGGGAATGTCAGCTTACTGTTTGCTTCAGGCTGCGACCTGCTCAAGATAGAACTATGTATGAACAGTTGTTTTAGCTTATTAGAGGGAAATTCTGAAGCGATCCCTGCTTAAAACGGTCGAAGGCTTTGTTTTGAACGAGTTGTATAGGATGTTGTAGTGAAAGATTTCTATTTCCTTTAAACAAGAACAGTTCAGAGTTCACACAGTTCAGAAGTGAATGGGGTCTTGCCCGCCTAAGAACCTGATGTTGTGTTAAAAATGATTGTCTTTCACTGCTGTTTTTGGAGAGCCGGGGAATTATTAAGCAGCATGCGCCCTGTTGCAGTTACGAGAAGCAAGGCCGTGTCCGCCGAGTGGTGAAGGCCCAGCAGCTCTGGTACGCGATCATTGAATCTCAGACAGAGACTGGCACACCGTACATGCTGTACAAAGACTCTTGCAACCGGAAGAGCAACCAGCAGAACTTGGGGACCATCAAATGCAGCAATCTGTGTACAGAAATAGTGGAATATACCAGCAAAGATGAGGTAAGTGGAGAACAGGAGTGTGTAGCATTTAGGAAAGCTGTGACTGCTCCTGTTGCAGCTTCCTAGATTATGTCTGAGTGTTGGCTGGGGAAGGGAACAGGTAGCTAAAAAAATTCTGGGGATGTTTTGAGCTTTTGCACTGACTTGAGCTTTTGCACTTGTGGGTGTCCCCTCCCTTCCAACTCCCGTGGAGGATTTGATATAAAACAAGGTACCCATCGAAGTGAACCTCCGAAAGCTTGAGGGAGAAGTAAGCTCTTTGGCTTGCTGGTAGCTGATGTACGCATCTCTTTGGCTAGTGGTTTAGTAAAACCATACCTCTCCTACCCCAAGACTGACATTTCAGTATCAATTCCCCCCGAGTTCCCTGTGTACTACCCTAATCTTGGTGCTCTATGGATGTGCTTTGTTTGGGCCGCAGCATTACTAACAAAGGTGAAGAAAGGACACAGAAATGAGTTAGTGCTAATACAGCATGGGCAGTTTTAGTGTGGTAAAGCTCTTGAGGCTGTTGTAATTGAACCTATCAGTTTCTACTGCCTGAGCAGCCACTAGTTGTTCTTTAGCTCATGCTCTTTGGCATGTTCATAAAGTCCTGAGTAGTCTAGAAGAGGTGGAGAGCCATCTTGCCTGCCTGTACTGCACAAGAAATTTTAGCTTACTTGTTTCAATTCTCCTGGGGTTGGAAATAGTATTAGTGTTAAAAAATTGTTCAAAAAAATGCCCTGATATAGTCTGAATCTCATTGAGATCAGCTACTGGTTCTGGCAACACAAGAAATGGTTAGCCTTAGTTTCTGGAAGGATGGCTTACAGACAACAGGATTGACCAAGCCAGAGAACTGAATTTTTAAGGGGGTATTGATATCTGCTAAATGTTTTGAATTGTTGATAACCTTTTTGCAACTCATAAGATAGCAGAGAAATGAGGAGTGCATTTTTCCAGCCTCGTATGTTGCTTGGTTCTTTGTTTCCATATAGTTTGGATAGCGAGCGTGCTCTGGGACTGAGATTATGGTTTTTGCATGGGGTGTTGGCTGGCATGCCTGTTCTCACTGTGCTTTCTCCACAGGTTGCAGTTTGTAATTTGGCCTCTATAGCCCTGAACATGTATGTCACTTCAGAGCATACGTATGATTTCAAGAAGCTAGCTGAGGTCACTAAAGTTATTGTCCGAAACCTGAACAAAATCATCGATATCAACTACTACCCAGTGCCAGAGGTGAGTGCTGTGCGGAGCTGGTACGGGGCTGGAGGCATGCTGAGAGTCTGACGACAAAGGGCCTGTTGTTCTGTAGCAAACCCAGTTCAGTCTTGGGCAGAAGGAACCAGCGAGGGGTTTTGTAAACCTGTTTTGGCTAATAGTTGGAAGTTCCATTAGCTACCTGTTTGCAGATGTGACCCGCTGTTAGTGGCTTCTTAAGCTTCAACCCGGAGCATTTCCTTAGTGAAGCAGTTGTAGAAAAAGCCCCCGCTTGAGATGGTTCTGCAGTTGGATTTTTTTCATGTGTGTGGATTTCCATAAAGCACAGAACAGCGCTAGGAGTAGAGTGGAAAGTGGAACAGAGAGAACAAGAGAGTAACTGAGTCTTGATTTTTTGTTTTTATGCATTTTTGGGAGGGTGCATAGACAGCTTTCTGGAAGGAAAGTGGGGAGAGGGTTGGTAGTTCTTGAAGAGAGACAGGAGTGGCGTTTGTTGCATTGCAAGAACATAGAAAGGCAAGCGGCAGAGCTGGGCATTGGAGGAGGAAGTAAGCAAATACCCAAAGTGTGAAGCCAAACCTGATGAGGATCAGGTGTGTACAATTTGAATGCATGAGTTTTAATGCCTTCACAGGCCTGTGGGGTGTTTTTTGTGTTTTTGGTGGGGTTTTTTGTTTGTTTTGTTTTGTTTTTTTTTTTTTTTCAGAAAGTGCTTAGCGTTCACTTCTGAATCACGGCTCCCTCTGTGTGTCAGTTTGAGCAATTAAAATCAATGATCACTTCTAACAAAATTAATGTGGGTCCTCAAATTCCTGCCCCACCAAACAGCAAACAGTGGGGAACTGGGCAGAATTGGAAGGTGGGTTGTTGTAGTGGAATGGATGGCACATAAAAGTTAAGGCAACAGTATGGATGAAAATTCCTCTCAGAGGTCCTTTCCAACCGAACTGATTCTGTGATTCTCTAGTTCTGCTACAGGTAATTATTCTCTTTGCTTGAATGCCTCGCAGGCTGAACGCTCCAACAGACGCCATCGTCCCATTGGCATTGGTGTGCAGGGCCTGGCAGATGCTTTCATCTTGATGAGGTACCCCTTTGAAAGTCCCGAGGCCCAGCGCTTGAACCAGCAAATTTTCGAGACCATTTATTATGGTGCTTTGGAAGCCAGCTGTGAACTAGCCAAGGAGCAGGGACCGTATGAAACGTATGAGGGTTCTCCTGTCAGCAAAGGAGTAAGTACCAGGGACTGTCCTGTGTCAGAGCCAAAGCTATGAAATCTGACTGTGCCTGGTCTTTGATACAGGAGATGTATGGCTGAAACACCTTAGGCTGATAATATTGCAACAGTACAAATGGTGCTCGAGTTTTCCTCCATCAGTTTGGCTTCTTACGTGCAGTAAGAAATGCGTAAGTTAAACTGAGGTGCAGAGGGCAATAAAAGAAAAACGAGACTCGGCCTGTGCTGGCTGTCCCCTTTAGCACAAAGATTGAGTGTTTGTAAGATAATGATACAGGAGCTTTAGTGAGGCTGACTTGTAGAGAACAGTTAATAGGAACAACCGGTCAATTTAGAATGTGGTCTATACAATATGGAGAAAAGAGCGCCCTGTCTAATTTGGACTACACATGTGTTCTTCAGATTCTTCAGTATGACATGTGGAATGTCACCCCGTCTGATCTCTGGGACTGGAAGGCTTTAAAGGAGAAGATTGCTAAGTGAGTAGTCTTGCACAGTTTGTATTAGATGTAAAATACATTTGATATATTCTAGCTGCCTAAAAACAAAAGGTAAGGCGCAAGCGTGAAAACGGTCCTATGTGTTTCCCCCTGCCCCAGTAGATCTTCCTTCAAAACTGTGTTAGATGTAAAATACATTTGATATGTTCTAGCTGCCTAAAAACAAAAGATAAGGCGCAAGCGTGAAAATGGTCCTATGTGTTTCCCCCCGCCCCAGTAGATCTTCCTTCAAAACTGTTTGCGGATGGTTTTCTTTCATTTTTGTTCCTACAAGGCAGAGAGACCCCACCCCCTAGACTCTAATTTAGCTGAGCTCCTACTTCACCTTGGATGCATCAGCAGAATGGTTTGTGTTCCAGTTACACAAACGTAGTGATGAGTGAGATGGAGCCTGCAGGGAAAATCTTTCCCCGCTGGCAGGGCAAAGCAGATGAGCCTTGAACATCCTGAAGACAGGAATCGTTAAAGCGTGAAGTGCCTGTAATGAATTTACTCAATTTGTGTGGGTCTAATTTTTGAATTTAGTAGATGCATCTACTGTCTCGTGTATGGAGAAGTCTCAGGCTCTTCATGGGCTGTTCGTTTTGGTTTTCCCTGAGTGCTGTGGAGTTGTGGAATGCCTGACAGATTTTTTTTCGATGCCTCCTTTCTGATGACTGGATAATTTGGGAAACCCTCTTATTAAACATGAAAATAACAAAGAGTTCAGTTATGCTTCCATGTTTACCCATGTTACAAGTTTAGTGGAGCTTCCCTCTTCTTACTGCAGGTAATCTGAGGGTTTGCAGGTTACCCCGAGAAGGTGAGATTTCCGAGTGTGAGCTGAGAGTTCCTTATACTGGCCCTCTTAGCTCCTCGCAGACAGTATGGAAACTGTGCTATTCTTGGGTCTTCTCTGTCTTGTCTCACTTGGTTGAAGGTTTCTAACTCTTGACTATTGTTGCTAGATACGGTGTCAGAAACAGCCTTCTCCTTTCTCCCATGCCAACTGCTTCTACTGCTCAGATCTTGGGCAATAATGAATCCATTGAGCCATACACCAGCAACATCTACACACGCAGAGTCCTCTCTGGAGAGTTTCAGGTAAGCCAGGCAGCTTTTCTGTTTTCATGTCTTTGGTGACTTTCACTGCTAAGAAAGACAAGACGGAGGCCACACACTTGGTAACTCAATTCAGGTAGATGTTTATGTTGAAGGCTTGTACTCTGTGCTGTCGTAGTACTGTTTTGCATGTTCCTCAACAGTCATCGTGCAATATGCAAAATTGTAAACAAGTGCTGCTTTTGTCTGGAAAAAACCTTTATGAGGCCTCAAGATGGCCTGCAGGAATACTGGCTAACTGAATGATGATTTGATGATTAGTGAAATTATTGAAGGGACACTCATGCTATGGGAAGAGTAACTCAAATGACAGTGCTGCTGCGCGCAGTCCTGAGGAAAGAGCTGTATATGAAGCACTGCACAAATCTGAAGAGGTCATGTAAAAGCTTTACAGATGCAGAGATGTCTGTCATTTAGGAAAGAGTATGAAACACTTGTGAGTTCTGGAGGCTGGAGCTAGCCAGGACCTCTATGTGAGACAAAGGGAGTATCTAACTTTTAGGGAGGTCTGGTCTGTCCATCCCCTCAGAGGTGCCCCCTCGTCGATGTTGGGGAGAGCGCTCCATTGCCCCCTGACTGCAGGATCAAGTCAGACGCGGGTGGTGAGGTCAGAACAAGGGGTTTATGACCCTGCTCCACTGTGTAGGGCAGGCACAGGGCTGTTGGACAGGTACCCCCACTCCCACCAAGCAGAAGTTCTTTCTTCCCAAATTAACAGCCTGCACCTATTTTGTTCTCTCCCCTTCTGACCCCAGTCTTAATGTTTGTTTATAACGGTATTTAGTAATTCAGGTTGTGATCGGTGGCCCTGGTAAACCAAGATCTCTCCCTTTCACATCTTTTGGCATTCTTCATGCAGGAGAGTTCCCTACAATTCCCTTTCTGATTTGTAAAGTCCTGGAACTCCTCCCATTACTTTCCTACTAGTGTAGTCCCAGGTTGGTGTCATCCAGGTGCTGCAGGCAGCCTTCTGTGTTCTGCAGTGGCCAGCGGCATCTCGCCTTTGCTACCCTCTTGTGTTAGCCTTGGGTGCAGTCTGGCCATCTGCCTGCACACCCCAACGATGACTGAAGAGTGAAAGGTCGTCAGTGCTGTACAAGGTCTTGTTTAACCATTTGAAAACCTGTGCACGTTGGGGTGGCTTTGCCTCCTCTAGGAAGCTGTATCTGTGCATAAGGCAGGGCAATATAGCTTTCACAGTGCTTTCATTCCTTGGCTTTTGCCCCTTACAGGTTGTGAATCCACACTTGTTGAAAGATCTCACAGAGAGGGGGCTGTGGAATGAGGAGATGAAAAACCAAATCATTGCCCACAACGGCTCTATCCAGGTATGCGTGAGAAACCAGGGGGAACAGCGCAGGGATTCCCGCTTGTCTGGGAAGTGCTGGCCGGCTGGGGGCTGTCTTGCCACACAGCGCTTCTGAGGTCTGCTGTGCATGAGTGACTTTGGTAGCCTGGGGAGGAAAAGCTGTGATGTGTAGCATTTCCATTAGAAATATGAGGGGATGTGTCAGATCTCGGTGGTAATTTGTTCCTGCTGGAGCGTGCCCATGTCATCGAGAAGCCCAATGGAAACGTGCTAGCAATTATTGCTAGAACAAAGACCGAGTCAGGCTGTGCTACTTTGTGCAGATTCTGCAAGTGTTTGGATTCCCATTACCGTAAAGATTATAAAGGGATAATTTCAAAGAAGGGAGTAGACTTGAGACAGGAACTGAGTATATGACATCCCGATACAGAAGTTCTGTGTAGAAGAGTCTGTGTGATGAATCATTTATGCTGTGGAGTTGGAAATGCTGCTGTGACTGTTGTGCTTGGAGTCATGTGTGCTGACAAAGTGTGTCCCACTTGTCGTGAAGTTTGGAGGCATACTAGCTGCTGGACTGCTTCTTGTAAGACTTCCCAACTATTTAGGACAAAACAGTAACAGTCTGTTTGCAAACAGTTTTTTTCTCTCAAATTCCCCCGAAGCAGCTGTCCTATTTCAGCAAGTAAGGCTTCTTTACGCTTGGGTGCTTTCAGATACAGAATGCTTGGATTCAGTGATAGGGTTCAGCTGTGAAAAGCCTTAATTCTAGTCAGGATTGTTGAAGTCTCGGCAATTGGTGAAGAATTTGATTTTATAAATATGAACATTTGGGCAGTCACTGGTTACACCGCATTGGCCAACTCTTCCTGTTACTTTTAGAATATACCTGAGATTCCTGACGACTTGAAGCAACTGTATAAGACGGTGTGGGAGATCTCCCAGAAAACTATCCTCAAGATGGCAGCAGATAGAGGAGCTTTCATTGATCAGAGCCAGTCTCTCAACATCCACATCGCAGAACCCAACTACGGCAAACTCACCAGCATGCACTTCTATGGGTGGAAGCAGGTATCTGGGAGGGGTGGGCTGGGAGGCAGCAAATGCGGGCTGATAAGTTCTTTCATGAAAAGGTGGTCTCTCTGATTCTTAGAAGGGTAAACGGCTGTTTCCTTCCAAGAATCTGGTGTTACTACTGGAATGTCTCTCGTGAACAATAAAGTTGCAGCTGCTTGTAGCATTGTTCCTGTTAATCCTGATTACTACTAGATGTGACTGTGAGGTTGGTACGGTGGTATGGGCTAAGGGAGGGCGGCCTCAGCCGTTCAGAGTTTGGCTGTACTGCTTGCCTCGCCTCCAGCGGATTCCAGCTCTTAGACTCGTGCTTTTGCTCTGCAGGGTCTGAAGACGGGCATGTACTATCTACGGACAAAACCGGCTGCTAACCCCATCCAGTTCACCCTGAACAAAGAGAAACTCAGAGAGCGGGAAAAGGCCTCCAAGGAAGAGGAAGAGAAGGAAAGGAATAAAGCAGCCATGGTGTGCTCCCTGGAGAACCGGGATGAGTGTATGATGTGTGGCTCCTAATGGATCTGCTCTGCAGTGCCAGCAAAGCCATTCCACCTGGCTGGAGTCCTAGTATAACTACCGTAACTATATACGGAGTTATAACTAGTATAACTTCAGGACGTAGAGGCTTGCTGGAACTGTGGCAGGAGGGGCGACCACATTAGTATATTGTAGCCTCCCCATCCGGTTGGGGGTTGGTGCACAGGTATGGATAGGGTGCATAAGAAGTTTCTATATTGCTTTAGTAGCCGGGCTTCCTGAAAACATAAGTGCTCTTGCATGGTCTTAAATTGAACCCCATGGGCAGGACTTTCCTGAGCAGACAGGGAAAGTGCTAATACACTTACCTTAAAGATCTGTCTGGGGGACTTCAGGCAATTCTTTTCATTTACTAAAGACTGTTACTTGTGTCTTCAGAGAAAGAAGCAGACCTGACTGATATCTTCTCCTTTGCTGTGACAGGACAGCAGGAAAACTACCCTAGGCTAGGTGTGTTGTACGCTTTGCTGTGCTGTCTGTCATGGCAAAGGAGCAATTTCTGTTAAGCTTAGAGAGCTGGAGTGCGCACACATCTGCCAGCAAGACCCGTCTCCCGTCACTTCTTACTCTCCTTGTCCCCTCCTATTCCCTTTCCAAAAAGCTTTTTAAAGGTGCAGACTGGTGGTAAGTGTGTTGCTACCTGGAGAGGGGTTCTCCATCCAGCCTGACAGGGCAGAGCATTGTGTTTGGTAAATGTTCCTTTTCAGTTCTGACCGGGGAATGGCAGAACTGCTGCAGTGCATTTTATTCTGTATTAAAAACCCACTCTAATTTATCGGTCAGTTTGCTGGTAATGGGCTTCCATGCTGTCCTTGGCCAGAAAGCCTTCTGAAGTGCACATGCCGTCTTTTTTTTTTTTTTTTTCAAGAGTTGCCTTTATCCACCCCAGCTAGTTATTTGATCTTTTAAAAATCGTACATTTTTACTTATCCATGTACTTAATTCCCTGCTGTAATGCAATGGGGCTTCATCATCCAGTTCTTAAATATTTATTGAATTCATGTACCATACAACTAACCCTTTAATCCAGCCAAATTCAATAAAATGTGGAATGTCAAAGGAATGAGCAAGTGGTATCTTGGGAACACTTTTTTTGATTAAAAGTGAATTGTAGCAGCTGGAGGCTGGGGCCTTGTTTGTGAACCCTGCGCCTCCTGCACACAGTTCCTCCCAGAGAAGTGTCTGAAAGCTCTGGAGCAAAATGTGGCGTGCAAGCAGAACCCTGTACTTGCTGGGGCAACCGTGCTTAACTCAGTAGGGTATCTGTTTCTTTGTGTTGTTTAGAAGATGTGGGCTGAAGGTAAACGTGAGGAAGGGACTAAAGTAACGCCAAGTCTGTGTTTCAGCAACCTGCAGAGGAGGTGTGCTGAGCTCACAGGGCAAATCTGGGCCTGTGCTAGAGGCAAGGCTTGAACTCTCGCACCGTGGTTTTTAGTCCAGCACTCGCCCTATTTCTTCTGCTTCTGGTTTCTCTTATAAGGCACCACTGCCAATGCCTTGGGAAATGGCTCTCTGCTTCCACGGGAAGACTGTTGTGTCTAGTCACCCCTCCTGGCAGCCGTGCTGCCCAGGAAATCTCCCCAGAAAGACTCTGAGGGGACAGGGCCTTTTGACTGCAAAAAATCCTCTTCTGAGTGAGTTTGGAAAGGTCAGAAGTTGCAATGGCTGATGGGGAAGCGGAATCCCCTTGCAGAACCTGCCAACCTCACCTGTTGGATGGTGAGGGTGGATGGAGAGAGTTCAGTGAGGACTGAAAACCGGTGTGTCAGGCTGTCGACGGGTATGTGGAAAGGTATGGGCTAGGGGTAAAAATCTGCTGAGGAGCTGCTGGTTAGACCATAATGGGTGGGTTTAGTGATGTTATGAAGATGCTTGTGCCTTTCTGTTCTCACCTGTTTGCTGGAGAGCTTCAGTGGGACGGATGGGGTCCGTTCCCCTCTGCTGCTGCTCCCGTCCATCTGCCGTCCCGACGGCAGAGCGCGGATGGGGCTGTCGAGGCCGCGGCTGCTGTCTGACCAGTGGGATCTGGTGCAGTCAAGGGCAGGGCTGCTCGGCGTGTCTGCTGCACCGGGACAGCAGCAAGCTTTGCTTCTGGAGCATCACAAGGAGAGTTTGGGGTTGGGTGTGACTGAGTAATGCGCTGTTAATGTGTCCCTGTGTAAACAGGAGTCGCTCCCCGGGGACCCCGCGCTCTAGACTCTCCTTGTTCTTGCAGTTTGCTTTTGCTGCTGCCTCTCTCCGAGGCACTCCTAAACACTAGTGCTGTTGAAATCAGCACTCCTGCCTGATCTGGTCTCCTGGGGGAAGAGTGAAGAGGGCTTACGCTTCCTGCCAGACGGATTAGAGGAGCTGGAGTGGGGGATGAGAGCTGTGCTGAATGCTGACGCTCCTTTTGGGGGTGGGGGAGGCCTCAGCAGCCACCATCTCTCTCCCGTAGGCAATTTGTCCTTAAGCACTGCCTTGGCTACTGCTTGCCTGGCTTTTTGGCTGTCTCCTGCTGCTTGCACCGTTCTGACAAACACTTATTTCCTTAAAGACCAACCAGATTTTCATGTTATTTTTCCTTTCATCCCCCAACTGCTATCGCTAGCCAGGGAAGTGCTGTCATTGCTTGCGTGGGGTCAGTTTTGCGCAGTTCCCTTTCTGAAATAGGTTTCTGTTACCCCTGCTGTGGGCTAAAGCAACACCTGACAGAGTGTTTCCCTCTTGAACATCTCCCTGCTTGACAGCAAGGTGCTGCTGCTCTCCAGGAAATAGCTCTGAGCTACAGAGAGAGAAAAAAAAAAGGCAGCGGGGGAGAATGTAAATGCCAGAGACACAGACGGGTGACAGCTTGACTGTGTGTGGTTCCTGGAGCAAGGAGAGAATGGGGGAAGCGAAGGGGTTCCTGGTGGTACCGTGCTGAGCGTGGACTGCCTGATGGGGTCTGTGGGAGATCCTGAGCATAGAGACAGCCCGAGACCCTTCCCTTCGGCCCCGTGCACTCCATAGCCAGGGTCCGCTCCAGACAGGCAGCGCTCACCGCGCTTTTGTCCTGTTAAAGCTGAAGTGGAGGTGGTGAGACCACCTACACGTCTCTCCCTGGGCCGTGAGGCAGGGATCGATGCCTGCCTTGGCCCAAAGCGCTCCTGTGGAGCCACTGTCTGTGTCTGCAGAGAGGCAGCCTGCAAGAGGAGTGTGCCTCTTCCTGATAGTGGGACACTGCAACCAAAAGGTTAAAATTCACGCGAGTGGGACCACAAGTCAGCCTGAAGGACAGCGAAGACAGCAGCTGCCTGTAAGAAATAGCCTGGGCTGTGCTCCTGCCTCGCTCTAACAGCCCAAGCAGCTCTCCCTGCTCCCAGCTGAATCCCAGACAGTGCCACCAAAGCTGGACGTGTTCTTCCCCAGCCTGGTGTCAGTCTGGTCTCCATGCAGCCTTCGGCAGCGGCCCAGCCCCACCGCCGGAGGGTGGGAGTTATCCCCTCTCCAGCTGCGTGGGATGCGTTCATGGGAGGTGTAGGCTTGAACTTCACCACTCCTGGGTGAGAGTTAGCACCGAGACCTGCCACCGCCACGATAGCTTCTGTGTGGCCGTCTGTCCGCAGCGGCAGCAGCTCTAACGCGCCGGGGGTGCGGGTGGCTCTGGCCCCTCTGCTTGGTGCTGGCGGTGGGTGCTGAGCCCGTCCTGCAGGAAAGGATGGGTTCGGTGCTTCTCGGTGATGTTGGCTCTGCGGTGGCTGCCCGTGAGCTCTCGATTTAGCAAAGTGCGGGCCTGTGCAGAACTTGGTGAGGAACTTACCCAGCAGCTCTGTCGCTGGGACTTAATCGGTTTAAGCTGAGGAGGGTGGGTGCTCACTGATTTACGAGGGCCGTGCAGCCGCCCCTGTGCTGCTGTAGCCGTCATCCAGCTGTGCTTCTTGTCAGTCCGGGAAGGAATTGCTTTTATTGCTGTGGACCTTGCCACCTCGCGACTGTGCGTGCCAGCAGATGGGAGGTGGTGGGAAGGAGCAGCCGAGGAATGGACCGTCCTTCCGTGGCGGCGGGAGTTTGGACTGGGTGAAGCTGATTTTGGTACTGCAGCTGTGGCCGTGCCCGTGGTTGTGCATACAGATCTGTGCCAGAGCAGTGAGCGTGGGTCACACCAGGCTGCGGCCCTCGCCACACGCCATTCCTCCTCCGAGACTCAGGTTTCCGTCTTCTCTCCATCCGCATTCTGCGGAAAGACTCTAGATTCGTATTTTTAACCCTGACTTTTTTCCACGCCGGCTGGAGAGACTTCTCAGGTTTTTCTCCCTAAAGCCTGTAGCATTGAGCATCTTCGTTTATTTCTCTGCCGCTCCTAACACAGGATCTCTCCTGTCTTGTACCTTTAACTCATTCCTGGGGGAATTATCCCAGAGTTAGAAAACCGCGTAGTAATTTAACTTTTCTGGTTTTCAAGATGTATCTAGAGCACTCATCCTACCTCATCTCGTACCATGACTTCCTTGGGACGCTCTACTGGCTGCTGTTCCCTGGTGGCCACCGGCAAGAGGTGGTCAGCTGGAGGTCTGGTGATGCAGAAGAGAAAGCTGGTGGGGTATCTGGGAGACGGGGCCCCGGTCCCTGCGGTGGCAGGGAGACCTGGCACACACGGGGAGCCCTCAACGCAGCATGTGCCATCATACAGCTGCCTTTCTCAGGATTATTTTTGTCCTCCCTGCTTTCACTGGCAGACTGGTCCAGGCTCTCGGTGCGTAGTAGACAGCCTGGAGCCAAAAGGAGTGTGTTTTATTACGGCAAACCCATTCACGCTTTTTCAGGTGTGTATTTTGTCCCACAGCTTCTTGATTCCCATCTCCTGGGTGGGATTTTGCGGTGTGATGCGTTACGCAGAAGAGCCGAGCGCAGCTGAGCGTGCGGAAGCCACACACGCTGCCCAACGACAGCCAACGTGTGCCGGTGGCGAGCGGCGTGTGCCGAGCCGCTTCCGCAGCCGCGGTCTGCGCCCGTGGCGAGGGTACGCGCTCGCTGTCAAACGGCAGCACGGCGTGCCCGCAGGAACGTGTGCTTGGAGCCAGCAGGCAGGTGATTTCTGTGAGCTGCTCGTTTAACCTGCTCGTCAGAGCCCCTGGTGAAGGATGCTGGTGAAGGATGCTCCGTGACTTCTTTGCTTCTAGCGTTTCATTACTGTCACTCACAGTTCCCCTAATTCCCAGCTGAATTATGGATGCTGCAAACTAAGCTCCTCATCCTTC